GGGGAGGGGGGCAGGGGCAGGGCCAACTGTCACTCACTCACAGCCCGCCCAGCCTCTGCACCTGCCGCTCCCCATCCTGCCGCCCCCCATCCTTCTGCCCCCCATCCTTCCGCCAGGGCCTAGGGCAGTGACGGCGAACCTTCTGAGCTCGGCGTGTCCGCATTTTGAAAAACCCTAACTTCGCTCTGGGGCCGTGTCTCATATAGAAATGCTTTGATCTTTGCAGCCACAGTAAAACAAAGACATATTTTTGAAATTTATTTTATATATTTAAATGCCATTTAACAAAGAAAAATCAACCAAAAAAGTGAGTTCGTGTGTCACCTCTGACACGCGTGTCATAGGTTCGCCATCACTGGCTTAGAGTGTGGGGTGCCCAGGCCAGAGGCTGGCAGCACCCACTTGCCCCTGTGTAACCAGGAGCCCTGAGTCCCCTCCAGCGTGTCGAGGGGTCCCTCCAGGAAGGGCCGCTCTGTGCCCGAGCCTGGGGTGAAGGCCAACGTCCATCAGATGACCGTGGGTCCCGCGATGTGACCAGATGTGCACGCTGGCAGAGCAGCTGCCCCAACCCAGCAGAGCCCCTTCCCGGGGGTCCCCCAAGGCCTGGACCACCTGCTACTCTTCGCCCCTGGGATCCCCGAAGGCTTGAATGTCCAGGGAGGCTTCCCAGAGCCTCTGCTGCTTGTTCACTCCGGAGGCGATGCCCCCAGCCCCCCAGCCCATACTCGGGACCTGGGACCAGGGAGAGGTGGGCAGGAGCTGGAGCTTCGGGTGCGGTGGGCCGTGGGCACCTGGGCCTCTGCAGGCAGGACGGCGGGCATCAAGCGCAGCGCAGGTGGCCGGGACCTGCAGGGGGGAGTGGCACCCGAGTGCCCAGGACGGGGCTGCCCAGCACTGCACCGCCCAGTGTGTGGTCCAAGGGAAACGCTGTCTCCTCCATTCCCCTCCCTCACCCTCACACCCCCAATGCCCTGGGCACCCCGCCACTGTCTCTGTCCTCCTCCTCCATCTCCCTGGCCCCTCCAGGGGCCCTGCTGGTGGTTGGGGAACTCAAGCCACGCCTTCCATCTGCAGAACGTTTGTGGGGGTCAAGCTGCCCTCAGCTCCAACCCAGGCACCACCCAGGGACCCCACCAACCCTGTAGCCTCCATCTTGAGGGCTGCCCATCACCCTGGCACCCACTGGGCATCCCTCAACCCCCGGCAGAGGGGCCAGGTCTAGCAGCCTGGGTTTGAATCAGCCAGAGCCAGGGACGCCTGGACTCCACGGCCACCCCCTGCCTTCGGCCCTGGAGTGTGTCTCTGAGAAGCAGGTGCCGGTCTCCAGGACGCACCTCCAGCCCTGACGCTTCCTGGGAAGATGAGGTGTGGGGGGCGGGCGCGGAGGTGTCGGCCTCTCTGCCCCCCCCCCCCCCCCCCCCGCAGGCAGAGCCACTTAGAGGGGGCGGTTCATGCCATTGCGGGCTTGATCCCCAGTGGGGACAGATAAGGGTCACCTGGAAATGCCAGAGGCAGCTGATCAATGATTCTCCCTCATCATCAATGTTTCTCTCCCTTCCTCTCACCCTGGAGACGGAGCCCGCAACCCGGGCAATAAAAATAGATATAAAGTGCTCTAGCCGGTGTGGCTCAGCGGATAGAGCATCAAGGGTCCCAGGTTCGATTCCGGTCAAGGGCATGTACCTTGGTTGGGGGCACATCCCCAGTGGGGAGTGTGCAGGAGGCAGCTGGTTGATGTTTCTCTCTCATCGATGTTTCTCACGCTCTCTCCCTCTCCCTTCCTCTCTGTAAGAATCAATGATATGAGATATATATAAAGAAAGACAAGGAATTCAGCCTGGCCGGGGGCGGTGGGGGGTGTGCTCCCCAGTGCTCAGGACACCCGGGTGGGGGTGTGGGCACAGGACTGTTGACCCAGGTTCTGATCAAGGGTCTTGAGCGGCCAGGCCTGACCTTGTGGGCCCCCATCGCAGCCTCTGGGGTCAGCCAAGGGCCTGGGCACGTTAGGGGCACATACAGAATTCCGGGGACCAGCTGCGGTTATGGGAAACATTACTCATCTCTGTGAACCGCGATAGCCCGGTTCTGCTGAAAGAAAGCACATCTCACCCGCTGGGAACTGTACGCCCCCACCCACCCCGACACAACACACACCCCGGGAGCCAGCCTTGGAGGGCGTCCGACCCGCCTAGACCATGGGAAGATGAACACGCTTCTCACGCAAACAATGGCGTCCCACCCCGGCCCCATGGCCTACTTCCCGCCCCCCGTGATTCCTGCTCCCGTGTAATCCTCGTCCTGCCCTGTATAAGCAGCTGGCTTACGGGGCGACACAGCAGATGTCTGTGGGGGACCTGTGCTCCCCCTGCCGCCGGCGGGACTGGAATAAACACTCAGTAGTATTCAGCCCTGTCTCTTCGGAATTGCCTCAGGGAGTGGCAGGCGGCCGGGATCCCCTTGGCTGTGCGGCTTCAGACAGCCAGCCCGCTGCGTGCCCAGGGCGGGGGCTGGGAGGGGCTGCGTCCTGTGCGGGAGGGAGCCGCTGTGGCCGGAAGCACTTCTGAGAACAGTGGCCTCAGGTCCCTCATCTGAGACTGAGCTCCAACCGGGAGGGGCTGTGGTTTCCGGGACACCTGAGGCTGCTCCTGCCGGCAGGGTTCCCAGGGGGGCCGCCTCTCCTGGGGTCCCTCCTGGGCGTGGATAGGAGGCTGGGCTGACCCAGCGCCCTGAGCCTCCTGGGCCCCTGCCCTGGGCACGTTCCGGCCTCAGAACTTGGAGTGGCTCAGGCCTCCCCTACCCAACGCCTGGCTGCCTCCCATCACCCAGAGCCGGGGGCTTGCCAGCCCCCCAGCCCCAGGCCCTTTTCGAGGCAGAGCCAGGCTGAGCTTGCAAATCGTGGCCTCCTCAGGGCTCGAAAAACACCTGAGCAGGGACGTACGCTTTGTGGTGGAGGGGGGGAGTGGGAGGGGGCAGATGGAGGTGGGGTGACCGCAAGGTAAGGGGCACTGGTCCAGACAGCTTTACAGGGGAGTTCTACCAAGCCAGTCCATGGGGATGGAGCAGCCAAGTGACCCAGCGACCCCACCAAACCTGGCCCAGCCCCACGAGAGCTGGCTGCCCGAGCGGGGAGGCCTGGCCAGGAGGCAGGCGCAGGCTATCTGGCCCGGCTCTCCCAGACTGACCACCTGTCTCCGTGATGTCCAGCCAGCCCACCTGCATTTTCTACATTAGTTAATTCACCTGGACACTCACCAGGAACCTGGGCTCCAGGGAAGTGCCCGGGCACGGAGAAGGTGCCCAGGGAATAGTATTTCACACGGTTGTCCCCACCCTCCTTTCTGGGGTGCAAAGGAGCTGTGCTGTGCCGGGCGGGGCGATGCCTGGGGGCGGGGATGGGCTCACACCCAGAGCCCCCCTCTCCTCCACCTACTGCTCCAAGCCATGCCCACCTGGCCTATTGCCCATCGGGACGGGGCGGGGGGCAGGGGTAAGGGCCAATGAGTCAAGAGGGTGCTACTAGTCAGCAGGCAGGCAGGAGGGGAGGGCGGGGCTGGGCATGTGGGGTGCAGGGAGGTGGCCAGGAACGCCAACACCTGGAGGGCCCTGCTCCTGACAGGTCCTCACTGGCCTGCCCGCCACGCCCTGGACCCCTGGACGGTGCCAAGGGGCCCTTATCAGACTGCAGGGAGTCAGGGAGGGGCTGCTCAGCTCCGCTGGGTGGGACCCCAGAACCGGGCTCTGAGGGAGAGGGGTCCTGTGAGCTGGTGGAGGCCAGCACAGGGCGTGGAGAGAGGGCTGGGCCCAAAACAGGCCACTCTGACTACCTGCTGCCCCAGGAAGCGCTGAGGTAGAACCTGACCTCGCCCTAGACTTTGGGCCCAAGAGCAGGCAGGCCAAGGTGGGTTCGCCAAGGCCCCCTCTTCCAGGAAGCCCGCCCTGCCTGCGGTTCCTGCTCCGGAACGGCCTGACCTCTGCCCCCAGCCCTAACTCCACCCCACCTGCCAGGGGCTGTGGGCACCGGTAGGGGAGGCCCATGCCGCGGGGCCCTGTCCCTGTGTCCCCCCAGCACACGTCCACTCAGGTCCCTGGACAAGTGTTTATTGAGCACCGCCTGCAGCCAGGTCCGGGGCTGTGTACGGCCTCCAGTCCGGGGAACGAGGGGGCCGCACCCCCTCCCAGCAGGGCCGGCAGCCACAGCCCCGGCCGTGTCCCCCACCGCCCACTCCGG